CAGCTCTGAACAGGCTGTCTTAGGACTGAACCGCGGACAGACAACTGCGACTTGTGTGTCACCTTGCCAGGTGATCTATCGGAGCTGCAGCCCAAGGTCTTGTCGTCTGCTTCACTGCTGCAATAATGCGAAGACCCGGATCGTCGAGTGCTTGGCACCACAATGCCGCTGATGCACGAGCAGAGGGCACGACGTGCAAAAGTGCAGTGAAGCCACAGAATCTCCCAGCAGCCTTTGAAATGGAACTGCGGCTGCCAGCACCATCCGCAGAAAAGAAAGCCAAGGCTTTGGTGTGCCGGTTTGGGAATCAGAACTCCGGGTTTCCGCATCGAATTCGCAATCGTTCACAGATGTGAACAAAGTCTGCACGCTGGGCCTCGATTGCAGGATCGACCCGATTGACTTGGTGTATTCTTCTTGACTGCTCGATGTTATCTGCGAAGTGACGGCTTCCTTTTCAGGGGAGGAATAGGAATGGTTTGCAGTCGTGCTGGAGTACTCAGACACTGTGACTCCAGTTGGTTCGGGGATCTGGGGACCCTTTGCAAATGCAGATGCACACAAGCTTGTGCCGGGCAACCACTCGGGATCGACCATACCATGAGCTCCGAATTCCACTTCTCACGAGTGAGCTCTCCAGATGAGCGATAAATTCTCAGAACTACAACAAGTGCGGAGCCACGAAGACGCGAGCTCGATGGAGCCGGGGTGTCAAGGCGGGGAGGCAGAAGCGCCGAGGTCTCGTTGGGGATCGCAGAAGGGGCACGCGCACCCACAGGTCCGAGGTCCGGGTCATGTTGGGGTAGCAATTTGAAGTCCGGCCAAACTCGGCCTCCCGGTGTCCCGAAATCCTTTCAATTCCACACTTAAGTCGTTCAGTATCACCATCACTGTGGAAGCCCCAGCGACAAGAGAAGCAGCAGGCCCAGCGCCATGTTTCGAAGGAATCGGCACAAGTGTCTCTGGCTGGGCATGAGCCCCTATCTTTGTAAGCAGAACTGGTCCAAGTTCCAATTCCCTCAAGCTTGCACCCCGAGTCTAGCGATTCATGCACCCAGCTGCGAAGCTCACGGCTTTTGTAGAGACTACAGAGAAGAACTTTTGGCTGTTGCTAGTCTTCGTGCTCCACACTGCGTATCCTCCGATGCAAGCTCTCCAGCACGAACCTGCGACGACAAGAATCTTAATCCACGTTTACAATGCGCTCCTATTGTTGAGGCTTCTCAACTCAACTTGGTATTCCAAGCTACGGATGCCGACGTATACATTTTAAGTCTTGAATCTTGGGGAAACTCACCACCGGCAGTGCATCCTGCTTGTCAGCTCATTTTGTATTTCTTCGGCATCCTCGTGACGGTTTCGGTCAAGCGTGCGCTGTGGTGCTACTGGTGATGCGATAGTGTTGTTATGTCACTGCTTTGTCCAACTGTTTGAACTAAAGTGACGATTAGCAGTCATGGGCATTATCATAATGATTAATCCTGTCGCCTGCTGTTTTCTGACCTACTTCCGAATATTGCTTTGCTGTTACCACCACCACCACCACCACCATCACCACCACCACCACCCCCACTGCCACCGCCACCGCCGCCTCCCCACCGCCACCGCTCCCACCCCCATCAGCACTGTCGTGCAGGTAATGGGCTACTATTTCCGGGGGCAGGGTCTGTTTCGCGCATTTCCTCCAGCCCTAGGCATAAGAGGCGAGCTCTTGAAAGCCAGAGATGTGCCCCCGGTCTGGCAGTTGCAACTGCACCATCGCCGGGCATGGGTGTCGCGAAGTGGTTTAAGCGAGTGTGTGCCGAGCTTCAACATCTGAGTATATATCGCACAGACACAGGATGCTTTAGTCGAAGCGAGGCATTTTTCTCAATCCCGAAGATTCCGAGCACCATGCAGCACTCGACAGTTGCAGAAAGGCGCGCACCCACAGACAAGCTTAGGAACAACTGCTGAGTCTCCCGACGGATTGCGACGTCTGTGGCGTTTGAACTTTGTCATCTTCTTTCAGACAGGGTGCTGTGTTCAGAACCGAAGGTTCCTCCGTGCTGTTGGGCCTGGGGACATGTTCTCTTGAAAACGTGAGGTCGTAGCGCTGTAATATTCAAACATTGATATGTAAACTGCGCGTGAGCGTTTCGATTATCAGGATGAGCACTTCCAGGCCATGCAATGCCATGCATAATCATCATTTCGATCTCATACACCACCAACCAAGTCTGCTCAGCTTCCACCAAGCCGGTCAAAGATCTCCTCAGACCCAAGCTTGAGACACCCTCGTTTCCGCAGCGGTTTGCTCCTCTTGTTCCGTATACGGCCTTGTCTGAGATACTACGGTAATTACATCTTCACTGCGCAGAAATAATGTTAATAATGTCCCATGAGCAGTTGGGAGACTCAGGAGGCTTCTGCTTGCCGTCGTCTTAGACGATGCGTGCACCTAGGCTTGCCACATCTCCGAATCTCCGAATGGAGATTTTTGGGAAGACACGTTTCTATTGGAAACGATAGAGCATGGGCAGGTAGGCAGAATTACGGAAAGCACTGCTCGCGGCGCACCTCGCACCCCAGGCAGGAAGTGAAAATGGTCATCATTTGTGATGCGTCATACTTTCGTCAGAATTCAGTCTACTGATCTTGTAGATGCTCCCCTGTCCGAGCCAGGAACACTGCACGGTTCGGATGACAAGAGCTGTAACGAGTTCCGTGAGAGTTGGTCGTGTGTGGCTGATGTCAAACCCCTGGCAAAAAGAAATACAACATGCATGCAACATAACATGGCTTGCTGAGCACGGGTGCGGAACCGGATTAAGGCCTCTGTAAATGCCGTGTAAAGGGTTTGGGCCTCAGCTTCGCACCACGAGTCGAAGAGGTTGGAGTTTGGTGCTTCCCGAGGACTCCGTGCAGATATCGCACGCTGTGCTTTCGCCTCTTTTGCTCGCCATTGCCATCCTTGGGGAAACACAGCGTATGCAACCTGTGTGGCTAACATGTGTCAATGAGCTTTATACTGCGCAAGAGCAAGCAGGAGCGACAACAGGGTGAATGGGTTATGCCATTTTCTGGTCCGATCTAAAAATGTCAAGAAAGGTATCACGTAATCCGTCCAGCACGGCCTTCTGTGCCGCCCATCCAAATACTCAGCCCCTAGCCCCACACACTCGGGAGAAATGAAGTGACAGTGGCATCACACCACCGCAAGATACCGCAAGGACATCGAACAGCAGTTCAGACCACGTGGGTACATATCTACCGCATCAGGGCAGGTTCGCTTTGTCACGCCATGGAGATTGCAAAACGATGGACTCCGCGCCGTTCCGTGAAGCTGGTTGTGCTCCGCGGCGCTACTAGTAACTACATCACTAGAAGCACATATAGGGTTCCGGTAATGCTGCAAGCTGTCACGAGAACAGCCTGCACAAATCACATGCTTAGCATAATCAGGCCTGGGACCGCGCTCTTGCCTAACTGGCTGTTGAATCAGTGCAAGTATGGGGTCAATGCTGTCAATGCAGTACAAACATCTCGATTTTCTAATACTGGCATGTGCTGCAACAGGCAGAAACCCCGGTACCCAAACCCTTAAACTCTCCACCACCTAAGCCCAAAGCATTCAAAATGCCACCTGAAGCCTGTCTCAGTCTCTGTGCCGTTCTGACGCCTCTGGCCTCGACCTTTGCGGCACCTCAGAGACTGACGCCCAGGACACCAAGGTCGGGGCCTCTCTCGGTTTGGATGATTAGATAGGGTTTCAGATGGTTGAAGGCTTTGGATCGGTTCGGGTAGCTAACTGCACTACATATTTGATGGCGAACAGACAAACAAGCGCACTAGAACAGGTTGATTAAGTATATTGCCATAGCAATGCCACCACTGAGAATGCTTCTGGCCTAGAGGCTTTTGGTTAGCTTCAGGCTTTGGGGCTGCAAGGGCTTGTGGGCCAAGACGATTGATCTAGAAGGTTTAAGCTTGTAGAGCGGTGTAGTTGCGTTTCAGGGTTGGGAGTTTCGGTCACCTGAAGCCTGAAGACACTTCTGATGAGGTGGAGGGGATTGTTCAATATCCTTTCAAGGCAAGGACTGTGCAAGTTCACGAGTCTTGGGCTTCTGGCTTTGACTTCTCTGTGAAATGGCGGACCCGAGTGTGAGGGTTTTTGGTTTCAGAGTTTGGGTAAGACAACTCCCAGAACCTGAAGCCCCCAACCGTACGGCATACCTCAACCTCATCCGCTTTGATGTGGGGCCTCATGTGCTTTTCGCAAGCCTAGCAGTGCACAAGCTGAGTAGTAGCTGACTGCTATGATCTTTTACAGCTGTGGTGTGAGTGCCTTCTCGATGTGATGTCAGGTCTCTCTCAGCTGGTGAAAGGCACGGCCTTTGAGACTTTGATAAAAGTCTCACATCAGCAAAGTGGGGCTTCGTGGCCGTTTCTGGATTCGGCATAGCAAGGAGTGCTTACTGTTGGCAGACGGGAACTCCATAAGTTGCGCTTTGGCCTTCATGATACGGTCTCCGGAGATGAGACAGCAAAGGCCGTTGATGATCCTAGGCTTCGTTTTTCGAGCATCCTCATCAGCGGGGATGTAGTGTTGATGGCTTAGGGGGTTTCAGCGTGTTGGTCCCTATAGGCTTCACTGGTCGCATGCAATGGTGTTGAAGCCAAAAACAAGCCCTGTGTTAAGGTCCAGCGTTGCCTGTGAGAGTCCAAGGTGTCAGCTTGCCTGGCAAGGAAGGCGTGAATTGTTGATAGTGTGCTCATCGCCATCGTCGTCATCATCACCATCATCATCATCATCATGACTATCATCGTCAGCAAAATCTTATGCAAGAGAAGCTGGAGCATTTGATTCGCTATTGTCAGTCTGATTGTCCTGACCAGGGTGCTGGTGAGGTTAGAGTAGTTGCCAGCACGGGTAGATTTAGAGACCACATATGATCATTACTCAGTTTGCAACATGACATGTTCGTTCGCATTCAATCACAGGCTTCTGCCTGAGCATTATGCACCGCCATGAACGTCTATCATGCGACATCACCGCCACCATCAACACCGTCATGTGCAGTATTGACAGCCATATCAGAATTATCACCACCGCGATCAGCATCACCATCACATTCGCTATCGTCTTCATCTCCGCCCCCATGCTCAACGGTAAAGTCTTCATCATCAGCAGCATAATAGTAGTCATCACAGATATCATACATGGTCGTCCTCGTCCTCGACATCGTCGAGCAGGAACGCCCACAAGCCTATCACATTTCCGGCTGCTCTGGCCAGGCCTTTCACGGGTCGGGCATCTTCGGCAGCGACAGTTTCCCGGCAGCAGACGTTATGTTCGTGCTGAGTACAACGATGGTGAGTGAAAGGTTTCCTAATGAAGGTCAGGACGAGTTGGCGAAGGAGGAGGAGCAGGAGGAATACAAATACAGCGCAACGACAATGATTATGTTCATGAGGATCGTCAGGATGATGAAGACGACGATGATGTTGATGATGATGTTGATGATGATGGATCATAACTTTAACACTGAAATAACACTAGCGGCTGCAAGGAAGTAGCTGTGGTACCGTCGAGATGGCGTGCGGCGATTCTGAGGGTGATGGGATGATGATGACGGCCACGACAGCGTGGTGCCAATTTTGATAGCTGTTAGTGATCGCGGTGGTGCACCGATTACAATGACGATGATGTTGGTATGTCGTGATGGGTGTTGTGATGTTACTGGTGGTAATCATCATGCAGAATCATGCAGTGAGACCTCCAAAGATATGTACGAGTTCTTGACTTGAGCCGTTTCTAAAAGGAGAGGTCAGCGCAGGGACAGACTCAGCCCCAAGCCGGTGCATGCAGATGTTGGAGTTTTGAGCTTGGGGCAGCGCTGATTTAGTGCAACGCTTTGCCAATCCAGGCCTCTGATGATGCTGCGGAACCAGTAGCTGCAGGCAACCCGGTGGCATCTGTGGGACATTCCCACTCCCTTGACCTGAAGTTCCAGCTTTTCCATGAGAGACTTGAGGATTTGAAGTCTTGCAAGCCACCCACACCAGGTCCCCACAGGTCGCAGGTGCTTGGAGCTGTGTGGGGGGGGCGGGGGTGAGGGGGGTGCAGTCGCTGCATAGCAGATGTCATGGAGCGTCATCGGTTAAGCTTCGCAAATGTTCCTTGTCTTATCAACTTTTGGGTGCAATTCGGGTTGCGCTAAATACAGCGACCCCGCCAGGCACACTGCGACACTATAGCATGCTCACGCTGCAGCGCATCGTGGGTGCCACGGTCTGCGATATGTGAGACCATGCATCTGCCGTCTAGAGTTGACGGGCTCCTGGAGATGGTGGGGTATGAGAGTGTTCGAAGACGTCGGATGTCGTGAGACTCGCGAGCAGGCTTCACAAGCAGGTCAAGAGGGGCGCAGTGCAGACTCCAACCCCGACTTCTGATACCGGATCCGATGTCTCTGCTTGCAAGTCAGAGCTCGTCGTGGGTATTCAGATTCGATCCACGTAAAATTTGACGATCGTGCCGGAAGCAAGAATGTCCGAAACTACATTATGCACCACACCTGAGAGTGACATCCACTTGTCGGATTGAGCGAGAGGTGTCGGCATCTTCATCGGTGTGTACTTTCTCCAGCGCCTCTTTGGGTCAAAGACACCTGCGGCACGGCTTCAAAGTACATCCAACATGATCCGGCATTCAGTCCTCATTATGACATGACGCTGCAGCCAAGCATGTTTATCCCTGTTTATCTGACACCCTACATATGGTGTGTCATTCATAGCATGAGGTCGCCCGGTCGAGAGACACAACCAGCATAGAATGAGAAGAAAGCCGGAGGCGACACATGAGCTCTGACCCGCATCCTCGTCATGCTCAAGGGACCTCCTTTTCCGTCCCTAGTCTCTGTACAACTGCACGGCAAGTTTGATTCCACTCGTTCCCCGCGTAGATTGAACATCTGCAGGGCTCGTTGACCTGACGCTTGTCAGGTGGGTGGAATGTTGCTGGTGTTCTTCTCGATGCTCGGGATCGAAGCGATCAATCCGAGGCTGAATCAACAATCTGGCCTTGCAGGGCTGTTTAGGATCGAAGGCACAGGCTTCCGTTCATCGAGATTGAAGGCTTCGTAAGGCAAAGAAGCGGCAGGCTTAGGCTGTGACGGCCTAAATCTTGTTGTTCGGCAGTGAAGTGGCTAGCAGAGACAGGCTTCTCAGTTTTACAAGGTTGGCACAGAGGCTTTTCAAGTTTCTGGAGCCGGGCTACCGATTTCTGGTGAAGTGGCCATGGCCTGAGCAAATGCTGAGATTCTGATCTGGAGTTCACGTGCTGCAGACAGATCCATCTTGGCATGTATGACCCTAACATGCCCTAACCATTCTTGAATGATGTCCCATAGTCGATCGAGGCTCATCGTCTTTTTCGTGCCGGCATTAGCAGGGCACTCGGTGATGCAGGTTGCAGGCCCTGGGCAGGTGCCTGAAAGAGCTTTCGGCAAGTTTTCGATTAAACTCCTGGACAAGGCTAGACCTTGGTCTGTTGAGGACCTACTCAGACCGATCGCTCTAAAGCTCCGTTCTTTCCAGGGCGTTGGCTTTGCTTGAATTCTAGCGCGGTCAGAGCTGCATCCCAACTTGAATCTGAAGCCTTCTGCCAGCTTCCAGGAAGCTCAAGTGTGCTACCTCGTACTGGACAAAGCAAATTGTAGATGTATGTCTAGTCTCTCTTGTCTGCGTCAGCAGCGCGGTTTATCATAGGTATATCTCGAAGGTCGACATTGTCTCGACAATTCTCGACAGTATCCTGAAACAGTTTCCCTTGCCCTTCATTTGAAGTCAGTCCTGCGACAACGGAAAGGCTTGGCGAGAAGTGTCTCCGGTCTTTGACTCGCAGAGCCTGCAGACATCGTGAAGTGTTTAACTAACTTGATTACTTAGCGTGCGCAAACCTGGGAGGTGCATCGGTAAGTATCCTGCCGGAGTTCTCCTATCTCTCCTATCTACTGCACGAGGGCCATGCGAGCCAGATCCGTAAGATCGAGGTGAGAGTCTCGCTGATTCATGTGGATCTCGGAGTCGGCGGGCTTTTTCGTGCCTCAGTGCCAAGTCGAATGTCTTCAGGGCCTGTTCGGGTTTAGAGCAGCAATCCCGAAACACCTCGAAGTATCAGATTCGGCCCAGGAGGGCCGCAGTTAGTAGTGACGATGGTGATCACAGAACCATTGTCGTAAAGCTTGCAGTCGAAGCGGCGGCAGCAGCAGAGTACTTCCTTGTGGCCAACTTCATGTTTTGCCACAAGACTGTCATCATTAATCGGTTGTTGCTGATATCGAGGGGTTTTGGTCGGATTTAAAATGTCGACAAAAGTCGTCATGGTTTGTAGATAATAAGCCGAGTGCCCTACGCCTCTCTGCGTTCTTACCACTTTGACCATATCACGACGACTACTTCCACTGACAAAAGCCTCACTGCAAAAACACCAGCTGCCCCTCCTCCTCCTCTTCCCACTACTGCTACTACTATTACTACTACTACTACTACTACTACTACTACTATCATCACTGCCACTGCCACCACGAGCCACCACCACCGCCGCCACCGCCACCGCCGCCACCGCCACCGCCACCCCCACCACCACCACCCCCACCACCCCCACCACCACCACCCCCACCACCACCCCCACCACCACCACCACCCCCACCACCACCACCACCGCCGCCACCACCACCACCACCACCACCACCCGGTTTAGAGTGTATAGGGTTTAGGGTTACTGCTACTGCTACTGCTGCTGCTACTACCACCGCTGCTTCCTCTGCAGCTCCTATCACCACTACCACAACCACTACCACCCACGGCACCCCTACCCCAACCCCTACCTGCCGCTGCCGCTGCTACTGCCACTGCTACTGCTGCTGCTGCTGCTGCTGCTGCCGCTGCTGCTGCTGCTGCTGCTGCGGCTGCTACCAACACTACCACCACTACCACTACCACAACTACGGCCATTGCCACTACCACGACGACCGCGCCCACGATGCCGCCGATGCCTGCAGCTTTGGCTTCCGCTTCGGCTACTATGTGGCTGATTGACGGCGATAATGCCTGCCACTACTACTGTCTTCAGCGAAATCGGCGACGACATCGTTCGTCCGACATGAAGTGGTCCCCATGTCTTTCGAGTTGCAGCCGGAGTCTGCTTCTCACTCGAAGTTGTCCCCTGAACAGCCTCTAGCTCTTGTGCGCATGCCATGTGTGTAAACTTGAAGCCCATGCAACAGAAATGCTACAAGCAGGCAGTATCCTCAGCAGCCACACCGTGTTAGTCTGTCCTTATGTACTTGTATCTCTTGAAAAATGATTTCATTCCTTGGACCCTGGAAGCATCCCTAAAGGTGCAGACCTGAGCGTTGCAAGATTTAACAGAGTTTCGGTCCTTAGCTAGAGTCCTGGTGCTAAGCTTCTCATAGCTGTAAGGACCGCCCCGGAAGCCTTTTTTTGCAATGCTTCAAGCATGATATCCATTCCCCACGCGCATAAGCCATCCGCAAAGCCAAACACTCCACAGACCCCCGAAGGCCCCAAGCCATCCTGAGGTGTCTTCGTCCTGCTGCTAGTTGGCCTCGCGGCTTATATAGATCTGTCATCAATTCCTCAGAAGGGGAATTCATCTACAAATGTTTTGAAAGAAATGCAAGCGGTGGCTGAACCCGGCGTACAGAGTTGTGGTTTCTGGTGGTGTCGGGCATGTCTCCGAGTCCAGGTGCCTCGATGCCCTTTACATCAAATCCTGAACTCTGAAGTACGAAGGAAAGACTTTGAGCGCTGTGTGATATCTTAGGATGGAGCAGAGACCGAATGGGAGACTACACGCCGACACTCAAGTCTGCCCCGAGCTTTCCCTAACCCTTCAGCTTCAAGCTAAGTTGTTGGGGGGACCCTGAACCTGAGATCTGGTTCCGAAAGCATCCGGATGTTCCGAGCCCGGACGTGCATGTGGGAGCCGCCTGAGGTTGGTTCATCACCTTCGGGTTGACCGCAGGAGTAGCTAGCACCTCGTCATTTTTGGTGCATCCGGAATCGATCTTCTTCCGTGCTTCGGGTGCGAGTTCCCACGGTCAGTCCGAATCTGAATTGGAATTAAGTCTTCCAGAGGCTCGGCGGATTAGGCAAGTCATGTCGTTTCCGGTGCCTGAACCACATGCCTGAAGCAGCATATTCGTGCAGTTGCAACGTAATCTATCCGTTTGTCATTTTTTGCATGACCGCCTGCATGCCTTCTCTACTGTAAGTCGACATGCTAGTGCGGACTCCTACGCCTGGACAGAATGTAGATCATTATGCTAGTCTTAGTTCAGTAGCTGCAAATGCCTGTGCAAATCTTCATGCTGCAGTTAGGCCCCACTTCTCCCCTCAACACACAGCTTCTAGAGAGACTTCCCAAGATCTAGAACATGACGAAACTTCCATGTGCAGCCTTGTTGTTTCGCCAGACTCGCTCCTGTTGCTACTGCTGTGCATTCAAATAGGTCTGGGCCCCCAACCCCGCAGTCAGACCATATCTGTTCAACGTAAGGTTTGTTTCCCGAGCCGCAGATGGAGGTGCAACCAGAGCTGCATAGCTTGCATGTTGGAGAAGGTCTTTGTCCGTAAGGTTTCTGTCGAGGGATGCCAGCTTCGCTGCATTATCAGAGAGTGCATAGATAATTACTCTAGGCTGGCAATTTGCCATGCTGTTTGTGTGTACAATGTACATGCATGGACATAATGACATAGCATGGAACACATTTCCGCCACACGTGCCAAAATTCGCAGGCAACAGCGTTGTTTCTATACAGCGAGGCCCCCGCAAATTTACCCCGAAGGGCACCATTGCTCGGTCTGCCATAGTCCAGGTTTTGATGATGCCTTTTATCCAAACCTCTAAGCAGATCGAATCTTGCTATGAGCGCTTCGAACCAAAGCTTGCCATGTTGCCGTGCTGCCCGACGATCCATGTTGGCATTTTGTACATGGCCTCCTTTGCAAGTCTGGCTGCAGCCAAGGAAGGAGCCAGAGCAGCCATCAACTTCTGGACCAGCTCGGTTTCCGTTCATCCGCTATTTCGTCTCATGGCACCAATTTTGAGCTCGGATCAACACAGTCGCAGGTTTAGGCCTTGCAGATACAAGCTTCGGAATCGGTTAGTTCCAGGAGTGTTTGGCACGTTTGCTGAACACGCTTGATCCCGAAATCTTCCGCACGGTGTCCGCTGCTGGACGCAAGCATCCACGAGTGTCACCTCGTTCTGATGTGCTCCAAGGCGAAACCCACTACTCTGCGCCGTCTCAAAATTTTGGACGACAGGGATGGGTGTGCCGGGGTCTTCTCACACCAGTCACAGAGAACGGTCTCGCTATTCCCCTGTCAGTCTGTATTGGCAGACGCTCGGATCATCGCTGCCACGGTCAGCAAGTGAGTGTGCGGGAGCGACGCTCGATGTTCTTGACAGAAATCTCTTTGGAGGGCACAGACTGTGTTTGCGCATTTGCAGGTATGGCCGGTCTCTTTGCCGCTGTGTTGTGCATCTGTGTCTTGAGCATGGAATGTGTGCTTGATCATGAATGATGCCTCTCGTACGGCCCCCACGAATTTGTGCTGCATTCGGTTTGGTGCTGCAATTTCCATATTTCTTGCACAGAACTGCATTTTGTCTCGCATGGTGTCAACATGTTTCGTTGATGTGGGAGTGGTGAATAATCGCTGCAACCCCGTCATGATGGTGCGAACCTCAAATCCGGAGCAGTCGATGTCCATCTGCATCCACGGGTGTCTAGCGGAAGGCGGCATCACCTCATTGCATCCCAGGTGCTGATGTTTTTTGCAGCTGTGGCAGCCAGTGCAGGTGTTGCACCAGGATCCGAACCTGTCCGACGGCATACTGCATCAACATGTATCAACCTTGAAAGAAGGTGCCTATATCCAGCCTTCTTTAACCGCTTCGTTGCAAGATGACCAGGGATTCCGTTTAGGAACGTGCATCGTGGCCTTGACGCCTCTGAGGTGTCCAAGGGTGGGCAGGTGCATTGCCGGGGTTTTGAGATAAGCAAACTCGAAGAGCCTAGCGAGGCTTGGTCAGTGCTAGATCCAGACCGCTAGTTTTCCTTCGAGTGTGTGTGGGGAGCCACCGTTCCGCAGGAGTGGATCAAACTGTCTTCATGGCGCCTTGCCTGTACTGATTACTTGTATTTCCGGAACATCTGAACAAAGTCAGGCATGTAAATGATTGGATTGATTGGAGTAGTTGTTCTTCCGTTTCCCAAGCCCTGAGCCTTCCATGTTGGCTGGTGGAATTTAGGGAAGTAAGCAACAGCAATGTCAGGTTATACACGTACATGGATGTCAGCACACTGTACACACGGCAGAAAATCTTTCAGATGATAGACGGATACACTGTGAAAGTGCAATGTCATGCCAGGTAGTCTGTAAAGAGTAAGCAATTTGTCTCTGGCACGCGGTGAATTGATTGACATGTCCTTGAATGGTTACGTCGTAACAGTAGAGCATGAACGGTTTCATTGCAAGAGCCTGGTCACGTCGCCTCAGACGGCTATGCTTCTGTGATCGTGCAAGCCTGCAGTGTGAGCCGGTTGCCAAAGATGACCGAGCTGCGTAGTTCACGGCTGTATCAATGCAAACAGTTATGTTGATTTGTGAGCAGCTTGCGATGCACATGCGTAGCTTGACATGTGCTTTTTATGTACAATTCAATGCTGGCAGCCATGATGATAATGCCCTGCCGCTTCGCTTCATCATCATCTTGTTAGCGTAACGAGGCTGGTAAAACTGACAGTCCCAGTGTAGGCAAGCGCCAGTACTCCGGCAAAACGACTTGGCCAGAATGCCCCAACAAGTACTTGCGCCTGTGCGAACGGCGGCAATGGTGACGAATGTTATCCATGCGTTGCATTCGTTGTCGACGTTGAAGTATAAATATGATCCGATTATGGGTGAGAATAACACACGCACTCCATTTCCCTTTTTTTCAGTACACTTATAGGGTTGTACTTGCTCCTGGTTCTTGCTGCTGTTGACTTGATTGAGCATCCTAATCCTTGCTGCCATTGCGCTTCGAGCAGTCTCAACCTTGAACCTTTAATATGTTTTGTGATTGTCGTTTTCGCATTTGGACAGATGTGTGCGGCACTGGCTGGCTTTACCTTGGGCAAGCGCTTGCCGCCGAAAGTGCAGAAGTTCATCCATCCGCCGCTTGAGCAAATGGCTTTCGTACTTGCGAGCTTCCAAAGTTGGGTCGTTTTGTCCTCAGGGCCACGCTGCCTGGGGTAGGAATCAATTTCAGTGATTGCATAAACGATTTTGTGGCGGAAGATAATCGGAAAGGCCTTTCGGAATGATCAGGATTGATAGAAGCATGATTGCATGGAGGCTGTAGCTGCGCGATTATGTGCTCCTGCATTGGTGAAGCATCAGCCTCGTGTCACAACGAATAGTACAAGGACAGAGCTTCAGGTCATCCGCAAGCTGAGGGATAAGTACTTAGGTTGATTACTTTTCAGCTGTAGTTCTCATGTATTCCACTATGGTCGAGTTGTGTTTGTCGATTGTACTGGTTGTTTTGTTTAAGCGCCCCGCCCTGTTTGCACTAGTCACTATGTCCTCGCCCCTGCGGCCGTTCCCCGTCGTCTGATTGACTAACTTCTCCCTTCTCATGCACACTCGTCAGCCGAGGCTCTTCATATGTGCAGGCGCTACATTTGGTGCGGCGGCGCTCTGGATTGTCCTGGAACATCCGGGACTAAAGGCGATGGATCTGCACGGCACTTACACGGACACTGGATGTTTCTCACTTTGCACCATGTTTCTCAGCCCTGGCTTTCACTACTAAACTACTTTGGTGCTAGAGGCTGATTGGACAATACTCCGGGCCCAAACTTTGGGGCCAGGTTATGTTAGCCCAGACAGAGTGGGTGAGTCACTGTTAGGTTCGAGGACTTGGGGATTTGGGGGATCAAGTTAATCCGTCAAATCGAGAGTTCACTGAGGATCAGAATCTACAGCGAGTGGCCAGGCGGAGGCGAGACTGCTTTTGCTGGAGCTTCGCGTGCTTCGCCATTTGGATTTTTGAACACCTTGCATCCGTGGGAGTTCCAGCGAACATGCGTGCAGACTGTTCCATGGCAACGCAGGGACAATCTCAAGCAAATGTTGTCCCGGCCGCCAAGACAGGGAAGCAAGAGACCCCGTCCATTCGTCTAAAAGCGCACCGCAAAAACGTATGGCAAACCCAGTCAGAACAGCTGCATTGTTAATCCTCGTAAAGTCTTCTGCTACGACCAAAATCTCTCTTGCCTCACTGGTCATTGAGAGTGAGGCGCGCTCCTTTATTTCCTGCTGCCCATTGCTGTGGTGCAACATAGCTGCAGACAGTCTGGGAAGAGACTCTTCCGGAAATGTCATGGCTTCGGACTTGCTTTCTGATCCTCTCGGCGGATTCTTCATGCCAAAGGTAAAGGCTCTCGGCAGCGTGGAACAGTGATGGACAAGTGAGAGCCGTATTGTGCAGGTCACTGGGCATGCTTCTCTTTGAGAACCGTGTCCTCATTCAGAAGGACCGGTGTGGGCAACTTCTTGCAGCATGCATAATGGACGAGCAAGTCACACAAACTTGAAGCACTCATGCACCAGCAGTGACCGTGCTCCAGGCAATACCAGCTAGGCTGTTGTATATGTTCCATGAATCATCATGAATTCCAAAGTGTTGTTTGGTGGAACACTCAGCAGAGTCTGGGCTCTGTCTCTGAGGCAAGCGATTCAGTCAACTGCCTTTTGGGGACGATGCGATGATGGTTCGGGGCATTCGATCTTTTTCCTGTTCTTCAACCAACAGTTTTCAACCAACACATCGCCTGAGCTGTTGTCCATGTCCATCAAGCTGCAGGATTTCGGCCCTATCCTTGTAACTTCCGCCTTTTCGTCCTTATTGACGATGAGCCCGATCCTCAGACTCTTCCAGCATTGGCCTGTGGACTTGAGCAGGGGGTTCAGGGCTCATAGCAAGAGAACCTGAGAAATGTTGTCAGTTTTTGGAATACATCCCAGAGCTAGTTCGAAGTTCCGGTCTTTGACGATGCCACATAAAGCCAAGATAACATCCTCTTACCAACCCCCAATCCTCAAATTCCTGAGCCCCGAGAACTGAAGCAGGGTTTTGGGCTTAATCAGGCTCGGCTCCACTTCTTTCTCGTCTCTTTGGCAACTTCGCTGCACCCAGTGATTCAATTCCTTGCTGTCGGTAGCTTAATCTTGTAAATGCAGAGTGCTGTTGGGCCTTTGGGGTAACAGGTGTGAGCCGCTCTGTAGGTTTGGGGGCAGTTAAATCCCTAAGCCGTTGAGCGGACATCCACAGACTTTCTACTGGCAGCGCCGTGGCCGCACTCGAAGCCGAAGATGAACATATGACTATATATAGGTGCTATGCTCGAGGAGGGCTGAGGAAGATCTCTCGAAACGGACTCACCAAGACTCTCTGCGTCTTGCTGACGTGGGAGCACCTCGTGCGAAAAATATGTAAATAGCCTCCAAGTTTGCAGGAGGCTCCCAGCATTCCCACCGCTCTTAGGACCACAAACCAGCACTCAAGGCTTGCCGCACGACTTTGCACTTTCTACCCCCGCACGATGCGCGCTGTCCCCGAAGCTTGGCTGGGACATAATTTCAGCTGCGGATATGTCTCGCACTTTACATCATGCGGGTTACTGCACTGTAATATGACTCATGCTGAGCCGTAGATGAGGCTGTACATGCTCCCCCCTGAAAAGAGTATGTCGCCGAACGTCCTCGTAAGACCTTGTCAAGCCCTGTTTTGAGGATTGCCATGGGCATGGCCAGCGTGTTGGGCTCACCACCCCCCATTGCCGTTGCGATGACGACTTTCTCAGGCCTCGAGTGGCTGGTCGTGCTAGTGGTGTTTTAGGGCTTAGTGTCTGACGGTTATGGGCTTGACGAATTTTGGTTCTGGGACTTCAAGGGCTGGGTTTAGGTTAGCGCCTACAATGCATAGGAGCCAGGACTTCAATCCTCAAGCCATTACGGTTCCGGACCGTTCTGCTTGCAACCTCTGACACTGCCAGTCTTCGAAAGCAGACTCCAGCCGCGATGATCTTTGGTCTTTGGATGTGCTCGAGCTAGGACTCACCTTGGAGCTAGTATATGGACGGTAAGGCTAAGGACGTTTGAGATGAAGTGTCCAGTGCAAGCGTGCAGAAAGCCTCCTTCAGTACAGCACTGGCCTGAAGCCAAGAGCCTGCTCCAATCGGAAGGTGTCCTCGGTGTCATGCTTGGGCCTACGATGTTCAAGGTTCTCAACCTTCGCAAGGCGCACTGCGGGACTTTGTTGTTGAAGCATGTGCTGCCGGGTGTCCTTGCTTTCGCATTATGGGCGTCACATCTCATCGACCATGTTCGATGAAGTAATTAGCACGTCTCTGTCACATGCAGAAGACTTGTGCGGAGTTTTCAGCTGCGTACTGTTCAGTCGTTTCCTGCCTTGGTCAGGCCCGTGCCAGGGGTCTCGCGTTGGGCTGCTCCTCGCACGGTGTTGGCGTGCCTCGTCCAGACACATGAGGTGAGCATCACCTAATAACCTAGTATCTCTACTTCTCAAGTGTAAGTAGTGGCACAGCAACCAGAATCCAATTCAAGCCTATAGATTCTGCGCCAACCCGGCCTGCACGAGCATGCATCACCAAGAAGGTCCTGCCCTGCGCTTCCCGTCGTGCCTTATCGACTGGGCTTTGTCCCGGAACGGTTTTTTTGGCCTCCTTTGTGCCTCACAACACGACGATCTTCAAGCTGCGATGTTCCCAGGTGGTACCCATCGCTTCGTCTGACAAGCTGCTCAGCTGGGCTTAGCGTCGGGGCTCCACGTTTAGCAAGTGATAGCCATGTCAGAATACTCAGTGTTATGCGGACGCGGCTTGTAGCGGCTAACACTGCCGTGTAGAAGTAATTAGAGATCCGTTTTTTGACGACTGAATTTCCATCAGCCCCTTGAGTTCCATAATTTATCATCCTTCTTAGGCGATGGTTCTGCCCTTGCACACTGCACCCCCCACCCAGTCAGAGCATGTGAGGTTTCTGATTTGTTAGCAAACACACACACACAGTGTGTATATATGTATATATATATATATATGTATATACACATGCATACATACAGACATACAGACATCCATACATAAATACATACATACATACATACACACATGCATACGTACATACATACATACATGCATGCATGCATGCATGCATACATACATACATACATACATACATATACACATTATATACATATATACACATATACATATTTATATATACACAGATGTGTATATATATATATATACACACATACATACACACACACACATATATATATATGTACACATGTCAATATGTATAATTCACGGACACACACACAGAGAGAGACATATACATACATATAGATCGATCGATAGATAGATATAGATATAGATATAGATATGGATATAGATATAGATAGATATAGATATGTAAGACCGGGTTGTCGCCGAGTCCTTTTGCACACCTGCTACCCGATGACAGATGTGTAAGCTGATTCAGTTTGCAGGATGGATCACAGGCCTACAACTTGTCTCCCCCCGACCTACCGCGACTGTGTGCCTCGCGGTTTTGACAATCTAGACCCGAGACCTTCTGTGTCAATTTTGTGCAAGGCAGGGCTTTGCTTATGGATGCGTGGGTCTCATCCTCATCGCCACTTTGAACATGTTGCATGGCTCCACCAGCAGCTGGCTCTTCGGGCAGTTTCTTTTTGTGGATGGCGATCGCAATGGAAGCTTTAAGTCTAAGTGCCTAGTGAGGATTACCATGCAGTCGCGAGTACCTAGACTGGCCATGCTCTTTTCGAGCTTTCTCTGGGGATAGCAACTTACTGGTGCCGGCGAGATGACAACCTTTCTCCTGGGGGCCTCGGGCCCCTAACTAATTGCAAATTGATGCAAGGGTTGTCAGCAGGATAGGTTGTAGCATGAAGCCTTTTGCAAAGGAAGACGATGCACTGCAACCTTCGGGAGGTTTCGAGGTGTCGGCCGAGCGGTTGCGACTGTGAGAACGAATCAATGGTAAAGGGTCGGGAATGCTGGTCGTGGTCGTCGACGCGGAGACGGTAGTGGCTATCGATGCGCAAATGACAGCAGCAGAAGCGGTGATGATACTGTTCAGGTCCTACGGCGGTTGTAGGAGGTCTCCCAAGGCACTGTTCCACTGGATCCTAAGCTGGCCTTGCCGAGGTTGGTCTTGCAGATTCCTGCTTTCCGGAGTCTTCTGCTGGCTGCTTCTCCCTAGGGCCTCACAAGGCTTCCTGTAGGACAGCACTTTGAAACCTGAAATCTGTCTGGGCTTTATGTTGGTAGTCTGCATGGTTTCTCTTGAATTGAAGAGCATTGGTGGTACTGATGCGGGATCTTCAGAGGATGGCATGACCATACAGCTGCTGTTTGAGCACATACTGGTCCATGCTGGGTCCTTATCGGAGTTCCGTCTTCGTTGCCCAGCTATGCAGTACTCAGTACTCATCACGGATGATATGAACACAGGTCTTTTTCGCAGGGTTCCTTGTCCTCCGGAGGTTGTGACATGTCGTTCAAATCATCGTTGTTTAGGACATGGGTGTCGTGCTAATTGTGTAGACTTGCAGATGCTACAAGCAGAACTGCATTTCCGGCGGTGCTCAAGGCACCACGGACCAACCCTAAAAAAACCCTGGTCGAGAAGCTGATGTCGATGGAGGGCTCGGATGCTTCGGCGGACGGAGTGTGTCGACATCTGCATTCCAAATTCGTCAGAAGGGAGATGCCATCAGGATGGAATTTAAACCTGCTGTTGTTTGCAAAATGCTGCCATTCGAGATGAGATAGTATTCTGAGGAAGCTGCTTGTGCTTGAGATTTTGGTCAGGCTACTACAGCATGCCGCCATTGTGGATAAAAGCCGCAACTGTCATGAAGTGCCTGTTCTTGACTTCCGTCCACCTGCAGCATGTTTCACATGTTAGCAATCATACAGGAGTAAAGCTAGAGCTGCAAACAGCCCCGGGACTCAGCCGCAGTCTTGCAATATTCTTGCACCGGGCATTGCTCTCCGCCCCCACTTGTCGGTCTAGCCAGTATTTCAGCCCTGATCTGCAGGAATTCATGGTGTGGCACCAACGGTAGTCTTCCGAAGTCTGCGTTTCCTGCATGAACAATGGTGCATCTCCGAATGAGTCTAGGGAAAAGGAGCAGTTCGTTGCCCCCTGCGCGCTTCGGATTTCACATGGTATCTCCCTAGACGCTGCTGCAGTTTTCGCCATGGCATCGTGAAGCAGCCAAGCATCTTATACTTCCAGTTCTTGGCTGTTGAAATAAATAGGTAAATAAATTGAAAAAACAAAAGATAGACAGATAGATCGATAGGTAGGTAGGTAGGTAGGTAGATAGATAGAAAGGTATGTATATAATTCGTGTGTATATATATATATATACATATTATAATATGTGTGTATATATATATCTATATCTATAAAGTGGGGTAGTCATGGCCCCTTCTCGTTGGTGTCAAAATTCCACCTCGGGTCTTGCATGTCGTAATGTGCTGCTTGCGTTTTGTGAGGCCACACTAGCTGACAGCAGTACGGGTGTTTAGATGCGCCCGGATACTCACAGACATCAGTTCGCAGTGCTTGGAACTGGAGGGCTTGGAGTTGGGGACGTCTACTGATGTTGATCTTAGGCATGGTGCTACAAATTCTTCAGCCAACGATCCGTTCAGGTTTTTTTCTACGACAGTCGCGCTAAGGCGTCTGATGGGTCCACTGCACAGAATCGGTTATTTCAGGTAGCTTGCCTTGGCTTTGCTTCATCATGCCTTTTGCCCAATGGTCCGATTGCCGAGTCTTCCAGAACTGACACTGAAGGCGTAGCCTTCAGGGCCTCAAAGGCTGGGCAAACGGGCTTTTGGGGATTTTTTCCTCAATGCCAATAGCACAAACGTGCTCACAGACGCGTCGCCCTCGCTGCGGATGGTTGCGCTAAACATCCCCTGCTGGCTACGCTTGGGGCTGGACAGGTTCTGATAGTCTTTCGACAGTGCGTTTTGTAAGACATGCGAGCCTAAGCCTTTTCGTTGTCATCATCGTCATCTATACTGCTCACCCTCAAACTCATTTTGTTTTCCTCGTCGTGTTCAGGATCTCTCGAGCCTGCTTGTGTCTCATGCTTATGCAAACGTTAGAGGGGGCAGGCACCCGACGAGCTCTCAATAAAGAGGCAGCGCGCAGTCTTCCTGTTTGGCAATCGCACAGTCGTAGGAGCCCCTTTGATAGATGCGTCAAGGTCGTGACGTACTGGCACGCGGAAGTCGGATGTTGGAAACACTGTTAACATCTCTGTGCGCAGACACGTTTCAGATGTTGATGAATGATCACAGGCAAGGGTCGGAGGTGTTTTAGGCATGGCCTTGCTACATGCATGCATGTGACATGGTGCACCGCTTGCAATGGCTTGTCCGTTGCTATGCCATGCCGCAGGAGGTTTGTGACAACAGCTTGGACAGCCAGTCCTAAACCTTGGGCCTTGGGCCGAAAACCGAATAACTGCCCACCAACCGTCATTTCACACGAACACTACCAGTAGCGTTCTGCCTGCATGGAGAATTTCTCAGGGACGGCATGCCGGGATTGTGTCAATGGCTTTCGCGCCAATGGAAGCAACATGTAAGGGGATGGCAACTTGTGCACGTGTATGCCAGATTTTCGTTTGCATTTGCCAGCATGACACATCGCGGTCCTACACGGCTCAGGGGAGAAGTGAGCCTGTTCCGCACAGAGCTGCATGTCAGTATACGAGATAACAACATGCTGAGCAACCGTTTAATTGAGACATCGCTTCATGCAGCTAGCCCCTTATCTGGACGTGCCCTATCCTTGGACTTCTGGGTAAGCAAGCCTCGCACCGACTGTGCTTTCGCGATGGGCCCCATGGTTGCACCGAAACTGGCCCATGATTGTTTCTGTAGTTCAGCATCGGTAATATTACGAAGTGTTCTAATGCTACTGTGTTGGATTGTCTGTGAGATTGTGTATTCCTGTTAGAGTGGAAAGGGTCGGGCGAGGCGAGGCAGAGCTATTTGGGCGGGTGAAACATATGCCGATTAGATTCAGCACAATGGTCTCTGGAGATCTTGAAGCTGATGATGATTCATCGTGGTAACCACTATTTTCCTGATGCTGGTTGCAATGAGCACAGGGCGAAGATGCGGGTAGTGATTGTGATGCCAGAGATGGCCATGGTGACGATGATGATGATGATGATGTTGCTGATGAAGATGATTATGATGATGACGTTGATGTTGATGACGATGATGATGA